ATACATGTCCTCCTAAAAATGTGGGAATGCAAACTGGTGCAGCCACGATGCAGGACGGACTTTCCTCAGATAATTAAAAATAGAATTAGCATATGATTCAGTAATTCTACTTCTGGATAGTTCCCAAAGAAAATGAAAACACTAACTAGAAAAGATATATGCACCCCATGTTCACTGCAACATTATGTACAATAACCAAGATATGGAAACAACCTCAATGTCCACTGATGTATGAATGGACTAAAAAATGTGATATATAAATACAATGGTATAATACTCAGATATGGAAAAGAAGGAAATCTTGCCATTTGCAACAAAATAGATGGATCTTGAGGGCATTTGCTAAGTGAAGTAAGTCAGACAGAGAAAAACAAATACAGTACGATGTCACTCAGTGTGGGATCTTAAAACAAAACCAAAACAGAAAGCAAACAAGCAAAAAAACCACTGAACTCATAGACACAGGGAAGAGATTGGTGGTTTATGGTTTCCAAGGCAGGGCACTGGGGAATGGGCAAAATCGGTAATGGCTGTCAAAATGTACAAACTTCCAGTTAAAAATCAGTAAGCCCTGAACATGTAATGTACAACATGGTGACAACAGTCAATAATACTGTATTGTATATTTGAAAGTTCCTAAGACTGGGGCACCTGGGTGGCTCAGTCAGTTAAACGTCCGACTTTGGCTCAGGTCATGATCTCACGGTTCGTGGGTTCAAGCTCCACGTCGGGCTCTGTGCTGACAGTGCAGAGCCTGGAGCCTATTTTGGATTCTATGTGTGTGTGTGTCTCTCTCTCTGCATCTCCCCTACTCACGCTCTGTCTCTGTCTCTCTCAAAAATAAATAAACATTAAAAAATTAAAAGAAAGTTGCTAAGACAGTAGATCTTAAAAGTTCTCATCATAAGAGATGCATACATCATACATATAGATGTATAATTCACTAAAAACTGCTTGAAAAACTTTATTCAACAGATATAATAATAGCCTTCGAAGTAGAATCTGGGAGACACACCGAGAAATCACTGTGATTTCCTTTATCACTATCATGATGCTACTAAAAATAAAAACAGAACTGAAATGATTAGTGACATTGACCAAACATTGTGCTCCTATTATTTCCATTAAATAATATCAAGAAATGATATGAATTTATTAGTTTTAATGGTCATATCTGTGAAGCTAAGGATCATATATAGTTGACTTGTGGAAAAAGAGAAAATGTGAAATATCAAAATGGCTTGCTTGACATCATGAAGCTCTGTCTTCATCTCCATTGCCAGCAAGTTTGCTCATCAACTGACTGTGTTCCGTCAGCGCCATATCCTGCACGTATTATCCTTGCTACCTAATAAAACAAATTTCACAAAGTCATTTTTCCTTTATTTTAGTCACTAACTCTCTCAGTCATTTCTTAAAGAGCTCAGAAATATAAGTGCCAACACCAAACAAGGCATAGATGATGTTCCTTCCCTAAAGTCTTTAGGATTTTCTGTGGTTGAGGGAAGAGGTTCCACACAAAGGTCTAACACAAGCTACATGGGTGTGAAAAGGCAAGTCCTCTGACAAAGCAGCCTCATTCTTCCTTTCTTGGCAACAGCTTCCAGTATTAGCATCCTGTGCCCCTATCATTGCCTCCCACCTCTCTCTTCATCATGGGGAAGTATTTGATGTTGTGCTCATAATAAAATATATGGGTTATTATGGCAATTTCCTAAGAGTACCTATATTTTAATGATGCTAGCAAAGGATAAACTTCAGAAAGTAATCCATAATTTTAGAAATTATCCACTATCAAATAGAAAGAGGAGGGCTTTGGGGCCAAAAAGGGAGATTATTCTCAGCAACCCTGAAGTTTTTCGATTTGGAAGCTACTTAATCAGCCAATAGATCAAGTAACTGTGTGCATTCAACATTTAACTTATTAGACTAGTTAAGCAATTTTTAAATTGCTCAGCACAATAAGAATCATGGAGAGCTAGGCAGATTTGGTCTTTTGTGACCCCTTAGGGCATCCCTGTCCCACACTGCTATGGCACCCTACTCCCTTCCAAGACCTTCTCCAGGGCCACTGCACTGACAAGACACCATATTCCTATCCTGTCCACAATCAAAGTTAACCTACTCAATCCAGTTCTTATAAAACCTTTCTCATGTAATTAATTCACAATATATTGTTAATGGTTGAAAAATCTCAATATGTGTTCTCTTCCCCCAAATATTAATGGGTTAACAGGGGGCATCCAAGGAGAAAACAACTAAAACAACGTAGCTCAGAGAATAAATCTCTCATGGGTTATAAGTCCAACTGTGTGGAACTCAGCTCCTCACCTATTTTAATTACTAATACTTACTGACAGCAAACAAATATTAACCATTCAATGGACGATGCCTGAGGAGATGTGGTAATCAGTAAGGCAGGCTACTGAAGTCTTACTTTGTCAAGAGCAACTAAAATTCAGAATTCACAAAGCCTTATAGTCAGAGCTCATCACTGTGGTACCCCAGTGCACCGAAAATTAAATCGTGGATGTAGGAAGGATGGACATGAGCCAGGGACCCTGGAAGAGGGGTAGGGGATAGCGGTAAAATCCTTTTGGTTATAAGCTTAGAAGCTCTAATAGCCAATTTCAAAGAAAAACCGAGCCTCTGTGTTTCTCTTTCCCATACCTGTAATGATTATGTTGCCTTCATAGTTGAAAGCACATGAAAAGATCTCATCAGTATGCCCTTCAAGAACCTGGAGGCACTGACCAGTCTGAGCATCCCAGATTCTCGCTGTTTTATCAGCGCTGCCAGTTAGAAGACAATTCCCTTGGGGGTTGAAAGAAATCTACAAGACAGGAAGGGAAAATGATCACAGGTTTGTATAATTTGATTCCCAATATATTTTTCATCAGCACAAAAGGGACATTACTAAGCACCTGTCATCTTTCTAGCCTGACATTTATTCTTACATAAAATAGTTCCTTCCTGATGGGAAAAAACATTGCAGGGATTAATACATGAAAAGTAAAATCTAGACAGAAGAAATTAACTGGCTAAACCCCCCATCTCGCCCCGCAACAGCTCTAAGGATAAAGACCAAAGGTCCAATCTAATTTGAGTATTCCCTACCTAGACTCTTTCCAAAGTCTCTCCATGCAAACAAAGACAGCCCTGGTGTGGATGAGAACACAGTCAGGCTCCTTCAAACCCAACCCTCCATGTCATCCCTATAACCCAACTTTCTGTGACCAAAAGCATGTAGATCCTCCTTCAATCTGGCCACAGAACAAGTGAATGTCATGCCTACAGGTGGGGACTTTCATTCTCCTGCCACTCAAAGCAAAGCACATTGCATAAGGCTGTGCTGAGTGCTTCCGATGTACCAAGCTTTGTCAGATGGTATCTGAGCAGCTGTGAAAGGAAATGGTTAGTTCACTGTTCCTTCGGGCACCATGCTTCTAAGCCTCTCTAAACCATCATAACACAATGATGTGGGTCACATCCTCTATGACTCAGTTTGATGAGGACAAGGCTCAAGGCCATGGGCTTTTGTTTGTTTGTTTTGTCCTTATGTCTCCAGTACAATGGATAGCACAGTGGAAGCTCTCAAAAAACATTTGTGGAGGAGCACCTTGGGGGCTCAGTTGGTTAAGCATCAGACCCTTGATTAGGGCTCAGGTCATGATCTCACTGTTCATTAAGTTTGAGCTCACACTGGGCTATGTGCTGCCAGTGGGGAGCCTGCTTGGGATTCTCTCTCTCTCTCCCTCTCTCTCTCAAAATATATAAGCCTAAAATGCGAAAATACAGAGTTTGAAAACTCTTTATATTCATACATACACAAAAATATGTGCACTTGTTGAGTGGGACACATCATACATGTCATTAGACCAGCCACTCAGAAACACAGTCTGGGCTCTCTTCCCAGGCTGTCTCTCTTCTTGCCAATCCCAGCCTACAGAGATGTGCTCTGCACGATCTCAGAGACCAACCCTGAAGGATAGGAGCTCCTGAGCTCCTGACCACCAGCAGCAGGTACAGGGATGGAGGAGGGTGGCAGGGGTTGGTGGAAAGCACAGCAGGGGACAGTTCCAGGGTCTAGGGGCACCCTTCCAAGACCTGAAGCCATCAAACTGATACTTTAAAAGGAAGGAGCAAATATGATCTCAGGTAGAAGACCAAAGAACGGGGCTGAACTGGGCGGGAGTGGAGAGTCCCCACACCAGGTCTTTCCAAAATTTTCAGAAGACAGGGCTAAACTTCAGGTCACTGATTGGAAGTCTTTGCTCTGTGAATCAGCTGTGGGAGAAGCTTATACAAAATACTAAGCTACAGCTTTGAAGTTTCAAAATTGGTCATTTTAAACTCTGTTAAGTATTGGGGCGCCTGGGTGGCTCAGTGGCTAAGTATCTGGACTTTGGTTCAGGTCATGATCTCGCTGTCTGTGGGTTCAAGCTCTGTGCGTCGGGCCCTGTGCTGACAGCTCAGAGCCTGGAGCCTGCTTTGGATTCTGTGTCTCACTCTCTCTCCTCCCCTCCCCCACTCACCCTCTGTCTCTTTCACTCAAAAATAAATAAGTCTTTAAAAAAACTAAACTGTGAGGTATTAAATATTTCCAGAAAACACTTTCTTAACTGCATCTAATTCACAGAACACTTGATGCTTGCTGTACAGCAGGTTAATTTGCATAATATACACTTGTGTGTCTGCTGAGACCAGGAAAAGTACTTCATAAGTTTCTTAAATAGCTTTAGCAAGTATCTTCAGATAACTCAGTCTTTTGCTGATGGCTGAGAAAAAAGCTGTCTTAGACTCTTTTAAAGGTTTTAGGAATCATTTATTGTTTTGAGTTTGAGGTCACATTTAAAAACACAGTTTTTAGGTAACTGATTTCCAGAAAGAGTGAGATAACTGGGCAAACCTTAGCACCAACAGACCACTAAGCATGCAATTGTTTTTAACTAAATAAACTACTCCAGATGAGAAAGCAACTCACCTTTGAAATTTCGCCTTCATGGCCTTCCAGTTTGGTAATGCATTTTCTTGTGGCTGCACTGAAAACTCTTGCTGTTCCTTTTTGGAAGAGTGAGGATACGGATAAATTCATCTGCAATACAGAACTTTGAACCCCGTGCTTTGGATTATGTAAATATCTATCCCTCTGACATACAGGCTCAGTGTGTTTGTCTTCCCGCCCGTGGCAAGAGCCACCACCTCAAACTGTCCATGCAAGCTGCTGCCATTGCGGGAGAAGAGGGGGAAGGCTGCGTCTATAGCCCTGAGCTTCTGATGGGTTCCAAGGTAGAAAAGGGGGGAAAGAATCAAGAAAGAAGAAGATTTTAAGGGGAAAAGGGAGAATCAAAACAAGTTTTGAGATGTTGGTGATAAAATAAGCAGCCAGACCAGCATCACACACCAAAAGGAGTATAAGGGTACAGAGGGTTCAAGAGACCTTCTTGAAAAGGAACAATAGCCACTACTTGCTAGACAAAGAATAGGCACTAGGGATGCCTTGCTACAGAAAGAGCTAGTAGAATGGTTTGTTCCCTGTTGTTCCTCAGTGCCCAGAAGTGCCAGCCTCCCAGGAGACACTCATTAACTGGATGGATGGATGGATGGATGGATGGATGGATGGATGGATGGATGGATGCATAGATGGGTGGATGGATGGATGGGTGAGTGGATGCGTGGGTAGATGGATGGATGAATGGGTGGGTGGATGGAAGGAAGGAAAGAAGGAAGGAAGGGGTGTATATATTTCCTTAGAATTAAGGAATGGAGGAGTTAAACAAGTATAGAAGGAGAAAAACAGCAGTAGTAAAATTGTCAGAAAAAAAGTTAAAATTTATCTAGCCAGGTGTTATTGTAATTATAAATTTACATAAAATTAGTACAATTAAAACATTACATAGGGGAAAAATTAGCAAAGATAAGGAATTTTGGTTACTTAATTTTCATTCAGAGAAGAAGAAAATACCTTAGTAAATTTTGTACTTGCCCTTCTGACAATGTCAGCTTCAGGAAGAAGTAGAAGAAAATTGCTATTTTACAATTAATTGGACTAAAAATATAAAACTTGCTACTGAGACATTTCAAAAGCCTTAAAGTGACCGTGTTTTAAGAATGTGTTAATACAAAAAAAGCGAATATCCTGCATAGAGTCATTCTCTAAATTTCTCAAAAACATAGTTAAACTCAGGGAAGACAGAAATAATATAGCCTGAAACTATGTTTTTAAAAAAGATAGAAGGATGAATAGGACACCGAAAAACAATTCAGTCTTGAGAACAATTCCAATGAGGAAGAAAATGGTGATATATACAAACAGATGTAGCTGCACAGGTAACTAACCCTGTTGAATGGATCCAATTTTAAGAAGGGAATGAGGAGAAAGAACCAAAGGTATGTAAACAAGATTTCCTAAACATCAAGACTTCTTAGAAGGTACAAAATGGGAAGAGGTTCACAAAATACACCAAAAGAGAAGAAAAAGATTTATTTTTTGAAGTAATGTTTTGTTGAACAAGAAAAGAATAGACTCACTGCTAGGGGACTCAACAGGTGGTAGAGAAAACAAAGGGAGAAGAATTGAACTTGCAGTTCATTCTTACCCATTCCTCAGCATCCTAATCTGCAGACCTCGCTTATTTCTGCCACCCTAGTGCTGACAAACTCCTAACATTCTTCGTAATCTAACATTCTCTATAATTTAACATTCTGTATAATCTCACATTCTCTATATTCTAACATTCTATGTAAAACACACGTATGGCGTTCTTCCTTGTCTCTTTCTCTGCAATATAGCTCCGTGAGGGAAGGGATTCCTCTCTCTTCTGTTCATTGCTCTATCCCCATCTTCCTAAAACAATTCCCGGCACAAAGTAGGTACTCGCTCTACTTCTGTTGAATGGATTTTTTTTATATAAGTGAGATAAATTATATTTAAAACGAAAAGGATCGATTAATTATAGTTAAGGGATGATTTTAAAAAGCCAGACTCTGTGAGAAGATGAAAAAGAAAATGGTTACTTTGAAAATTAGAATTCTCAAAATTCAGGGTATTTATAATTCCAGGGTATAGAAAGAACTTTATGTATGATCAAAGGATCACTTTTGAAAAGTCCTGGTGAGTAAGAGAATAAGCATTCAAATGTAATTTTGAAAAGGGAGACAAAGGTGGAATAAAGACTATGTAATTAAAATGAATCACTGGCAAAATTCTACAAGTGATTATGACACAAAGGACATGTGACTACTTAACAGTATGTTAGTCACAAGGAGCAAATGCAGGAAAGCTAAGAACAAATCATTCCCCCAAAAAAGCATTCTGTCTTTGCTAGAATTCCTTAAATGGCTGTTGAGAAGTTTACAAGGACAGGATAGAGTCACATGGAGTCACTAAGAAAATTGGACATAATAAAGCATCATGTGTGATTATCAAAAGGATGACTTGACACAGTGGAGGCTTCTGTGTGTTGACATGGTGATGACACAATCATAGTACCGCATGATACACATTCGTAGGAGCATGACACAGATACATGTTGTATGTGGCCATCACAGATATGACGCTGACATAGTATAGCACAATGTATGGTTGTCAAGGAGATGAAAACACATAGTGTAGCATCACACCTGCCACCAAAAAGATAATGGGGACACTAGGTAGAGTCATCTGTGGAATATAGGAAGATGGCACATACACAGTGTAGCAACATAGGAGGTCAACAGAGGGTACAGATATATTGCAGCATCATATATGGTGGTCATCACGGATATGACATATACTGTATCATCACACTTAGTTGTCTAAGAGACGATGCAAAATAGTGTAGTGCTCCCCATGGTTATCAAGGAGATGATATAAACAGAATATAGGATATACAGCATATATCCCTGACAGGTTGTCAAAGACCTGAATAATGGCATAGCATTATGTATTTATTGACACATTCAGTAGTAATTGCATACCATGACACATACTTAAGACAGGATACACAGTGTGGCATCATATGTTTTTGTCAAGGATATGATGCAGATGTCATGAAGCATCATTCATTGTCTTCAGGGAGTTTACCCATAGTATAGCATCATCCATGGCTTTCAGGAGGTGGGGACGTCACAATGTGACATCATATGCAGTAGGTTACAAGATGATACAGACATAGAGCAGCATGATTATCAAAGACATGCTACAGACACATCATACTGGGGGATTTGCAAGGAGAGAAGTCTTCAAGCAGAAGACACAAACATGCCGTGTGTCATACATGGTGTTATCGGGCCAAACTGTGTTCCCCACAAAACTTGAATGTTGAATTCCTAACCCACTGTGCCCAGAAGTTGGCTTACTTGGAGATTGGGTCTTTTAATTTAAAAAAAAATTTTTTTTTTAATGTTTATTTTCGAGACAGAGTGTGAGCAGGGGAGGGATAGAGAGAGGAGGACACAAAGAATCTGAAGCAGGTTCCAGGCTCTGAACTGTCAGCACAGAGCCCAATGCGGGGCTCAAACCCACAAACAGTGAGACCATGACCTGAGCCAAAGTCAGATGCTTAACAAACTGAGCCACCCAGGTGCCCCAGAATTGGGTCCTTAAAGGAGAAATGAGGCTAACATGAGGTCCTTAGAGTGGGCCCTAACCCAATACAGCTGGTGCCCTTGTAAGAAAAAGAGACTAGGACAGAGACATGTGCAGAGGGAAGGCCATGTGAAGACTCAGGGAAAACACTGCCTTCTGCAGGCCTCAGGAGAAACCAATGCTGCCAGCACCTTGATCTCGAACCTGTAGATTCCAGAATTGTGAGAAAATAAATTTCTGTCTTTTAAGCCACTCAGGCTGTTGTACTCTGTTACGGCAGCCCTGGAAACTAATATATAGACCAAAGAGATAATGCAGGTACAGGATACCATCATGTGTGCTTGCACAGACACAGTGCAGCATCATGCATGGTTGACAAGATGACACAGGTGTCTCACAGCATCATATGTGATTGTCAGATTACTTATAATAGAGCATCATGCATAATTAGTCAAAAAGTATGCAAACAGAGTGTATAGCTTCATTCATTGTCAAAGACATGATGAGACACAGTAGTGTTTCATACATGGTCACCACCTTGGTTGTCAGGGAAATGATGCAAATATAGTGTGGCGTCATACATTATTAGAGAGTGTAGTGTCATATGTGGTCATCAGAGTGATGATACAGACACAATTTGTGTCATACGTGGATATAACAGACTTGCCACAGACATATTGTAATGTCACAGGTGCTTCTCAGGGACATGAGATACATATATTCCAACATCATAAATAATAGTAGGAAGATAACACAGAAATACTGTATCACCATACTGGTTTCCAAATGACACGGATATAGTATGGCATCATACATGATTATCACGAACATGATACAGAAATAGCTTAGTCACATGCTATTGCATGTGACAAGGTTGTTAAAGGGATGATATAGGAATAATAGAGCATCACACATACTTATACACGGGGTTTCACATAATGTAGCCTGGTTTTCCAGGATATGATGCGTATATTATGTAGCATTGTACATGGTCATCACGGAATCTCTCATAGTATAGAGATTATACATGATTATCAAGAAAATGATGTAGGCATAATATAGCTTTATATGTTGCTGTGGAGAACATGATACAGACATAGTATAACATCATACATGTTTTTAAGGAGATAACACAGAAACAGCACAGCACCTTACTTGATGTTCAGGGGGATCATGTAGTTATCAGGATATGATACACAGGGTAACAGCATATATGGTTGCTGGGGGGATGATGCAATCAGAGTATGGCATCATTAATGGAGGTCAGTGAACACTTTGGCATCACATAACATTATTAATTGTTGACACAGACAGTGTAACATCATACAAGCCTACACTGAGATGACACATAGCACTCAAGGAGATGACACAAAAGGTATAACGTGATAAAAAGATTTTGAAAACACAATCCAGACATAATGTAGAATCATGTCGTTTTGTAAATGAGGTGAAGGAGACAGAGCAGACCTTGAAGACGTGTTTGCCAAGGTGAAGAGGTTGAAATATTACAGCATCACACAGAAATTTCTAGGAAATGGTGAAGTAGAGTATCAGACATGGTCATAAGTGATTAGATGAAGATACAGTATAGTATCATACACGATTTTAAAGAGAATGACAAGGACTGTAAATCAAAACATAGCAACCATGTATATGATACGGACATAATATGGCATTATACATGGTCATTAGAGGGATAATGTAGACTTATATAGCTCCATTCATGGTCATCAGGCAGATGATATAGACATAATATACCATTATATTTGGTCTGCAGGGAGATGATAGTTCAGCATCATACTTGGCTACTAAGGTAATGTGTCTCATGGCATAGCATTGCATATAGTGGCCAAGGAGATTAAGTAGACTTTGTATAGCACCACACAAGCTTGTCAAGGAGATGATGCAGTTAGAGTGCATTATCCAGTGTGGTTTTTAAATGATAACAAAGTCACAGTGTAACTTAAAACATAATCCTCAGGTATATGGTGCAGACACAATGTCACATCATATGTGGTTATTAAAGGAATGATGTAGACTCGGTGCGGTTGCATACATGGTCATCAGCTGGACAACACAGGTGTGGTGTAGCATTACCTGCAGTCTTCAGGAAGATGACACATGGTGTAGCATCATACTTAACTGTCAAAGTGATGGCTCATAGAAGAGCGTCACTTGGTTGTGTGATGTCATGAGATGACATCGACTTAGCACAGCGTCACACATGCTTGCCGAGGAGATGGTGTGGAGGTATCATCACATGTGGCTGTCAAGGATGTCATGTAGACATCATGACAGGGTTGCCAGCAAGTGATGCAGAAGGTGTGTAGTCTCTTACATCTTGTCAGGAATACATAGTTATGAGGATGACCCGTTGTTTAGTATAAAAAATTACCATCCAAGGCATAGTATATACATAATGCAGTAATACAGATGGTTGTCAGTGAGATGGTACAGATATCACATGGCATTATATGTGGCCTTCAATGAGATGTCAAAGACATATTTAACATCATGTATGTTTGTCAGCGAGGTGAGTTCATGGTAATCATACATGCTTATCAAGGAGATGATGCTGACATAGTAAACCTCATGTGCAGCCATCCAAGGAGATGATGTAGGTAGAGCGTAATATCATACATAATCTTTAAGAAAATGTGAGTCTAGTGTGTTATCATGCATGGTCATCAGGAGGAGATGATGATACACAATGTAGCATCCTACTTGGTAACCCAGAGCTGGAGTAGATATACCATAGAACTTGTGTCCTGGAGGGATAAGATAGACATAATAGTAAACATGGTCAAGAGGAAAGTGACATAGCTGTATTGTAGCCTCACATGTGGTCCACAATGAATTGAGGCACACCTAGGGTACCACCAGCCTATGGTTATCAGTAAGATGATGCAGATATAGTGTAGAATCATACATGGTAAGTGAGAAGATGATGTATATATAGCATAGTATCATGTGTTCATCACAACGACATGCTATACACAGTGGGGCAGCACGTGTGAATAAAGGAGACAATACAGACTTATTAGTTTCCTGGATGGTGGTCAAGTTGATGAGGTCAACACAGTATAGCATAATGCACGACTATGGAGATGATCCAGAATATTCCGTTATATATAGTTATCAAGGAGATGTGAAGACCTAGTATAACGTCAGATGCGGTTGTCAAGGAGGTGACGCAGACACTATGACGTGGTTACCAAAACTGCGATACAGACATAGTGTAGTGACCAACATCACAGAGATAAGGCAGACATGATTTCTATCATAGCTGGTCATCAGGTAGATGACCTATAGTACAAAATTATACCTGTTTGTCAAACAAAGCATAAATCCCCCCATAAACTAAAAGTATGAACCACTGACCCACCATCAGCTGAAGCAGTTGCAATAAGTTTTCCAGTGTAATCAAAACAGCTGTCTAGTATTTCATCATCATGGCCTGTTAATGTTGCCACACATTTTCCATTTGCAGCGTCCCACAGCTACAATTAAAAAAAAAAAAAGACGACTATGATGACTTCCCGTCTTGAAGTGCAAAACTAGCAAGTACTAGACCTTATGAGATGCTTACGGCTGGCTAAGTAACTGGACCAAGACCATGTGTAACATTTTCACATTTTCTGCTAATTTTACCTGGATTCGTGACCAAGAGACCACAGCTAATAGACCAACTATCTAACAAGACACACTTTGGACAAAGAGGCAATCAGAGACAGATATTTAGAATGGGAAATGCAAATCTGCCACTATACTAGGTTATATCTCAAAGTGCCTGCTTCACTGACTGGAGTGGAAGTGTCCTCTTCTCATAAGAAGGTCATCAAATGATTAGTAGCTTCTTCTAAAACTGTAATGTTAGAAAATGAAAAGTACACTAAGATTATAATACATTGGATGTGTAATCAAATAATAATTCCAGAGCATAAGCTCTTAGCAAACGGAAGTTAAAAACAGTCAGACACTGTGTTGAGCCTCGGTGAGATTGCCTATAACCAAGTTTAACTGATGAACAAAGAGATGAAAGAAAAATAACATGCCTTTTATTTTTTTAAATAAGATCTTATAATGATTAACACTGTCTGATATGATTCAATTAACATTGTTTTACTACATCCATAATTTCTCTAAACTCGGGAGATCAGAAACTTAACATTTAAAAATACCAATCACCGGGGAGCCTGGGTGGCTTAGTCAGTTAAGCGCCCGACTTTCGCTTAGGTCATGATCTCGCGGTTCGTGGGTTCGAGCCCCGCGTCGGGCTCTGTGCTGACTGCCAGCTCAGAGCCTGGAGCCTGTTTCAGTCTGTGACTCCCTCTCTCTCTGACCCTCCCCTGTTCACGCTGTCTCTCTCTCTCTCCTAGAAATAAATAAAACATTTAAAATAAAAAATAAAAAATAAAAATAAAAATACCAATCACCATTTATAAATGAATATCTTCATTTTACAGTACTTTTGACATTTGTTAAGGTCGCAGTCAGTGTCTGATACAGTAAAAAACATGCACAGAAGGACTGTAAAGCAAAGGTGTTTCTTGAGCTCACCATGCAGGTTTTGTCCATAGAGCCGGTTAATATGAGGGAGCAATCCCAGCTGAATAAAGCGCTGCTGATCTCAGCATAGTGCCCAATTAGGGTATACACCTTCCTGCAGAATGGAAAGGATGCACACTGCTGAAAGACGCTTCATGTCAGGATATGTGCACGAATAATGATGTCTAGCCCCTGGGTGTCAGAATCAAAACTTTGGTTTTTACAAAATAACATCTGTGATGACAAAACAGTGATGGCTTTACTTTACTCTTTACAAAAAGAGTCAACTAGGCTGCTAATCCCATTTCAGCAAAAAATATACTGAAATTTTAAGCACTCAAAGGTCACAACATTACTTAAGACAAGACTTCAGAAAGCCATGGGTGAAAAATAATAAAGGTCGTCTGAGATTCTGGAAGTCTTCTTATACCGGATGAGCAGACCTGGGTGGTTCAGAAACTCCCATCAAATGTCTGGAGGGCCCTTCCTTCTCTCTCTTTTCTTTTTGCATCTATCTTGATTGCCACCCCTGATAATTTCCCCCCTTATCAAGATGCAGACAAGTCCAAGAAAGAGCTTTACAACACAAATAGTCTAATTTAGTTAACGTCTTAGCAACTAGAACCAAAAATAATTAGGAAGGAAATTAAAGTTCTTGGACTAAATTAAATTTGGGAAATTAGCCATGATTTTATTTACTCCTGATATCCATGCCTATCGTAACGACAAGCCATTGAAATTGGATTACATAGTATACAGAATAAGTAATAGCCATACACTCAGGCTACTGTTAACATTCTCCTTTTATGTTGCTGTGTGGCATTATTTCCCTGGAATTCTAAGAAAGCACACAGTTTGTATGGATCAGAAATACCAGTAAATAATGAATTTATTTTCGGTGTGTCCTATTCCTATAGAATCCAAAGCAGACTTAATAGATATAAGAGTAAACTAATGAACAGCAAAGATTGTCTTCTTAGTCCTCTGATTCAGATTTTAAAATTCTCAAAGACAAGATACCTTCCAGTTTCAGCTTCCCACACTGCAACTGTGTGATCAAAAGACCCTGTGATGATTCTGCTTCCCGAGGTGTTAAAGGACAAAGAGATGATTTCAGCCAAATGTCCCTAGAGAGAGAATGGACATCGTCACGCATACCTATGGAAAAACACTCCCTACAAATGCACAGTCTGCTAGTTGATAAGAAAATGCTAGAAAAGGCAAAACTCTATAGGTAGAAAAGAGATTAGCAGTTGGCTGAGGGGTAGGAACAGGGAGAGATTGCAAATGGGCACAGGTTTCTTTCTGGGGAACTGTTTGAAAACTTGAGCTTGGGGAAAGTCGCGCTTAACTAAATTTTACTAAAAGTTGACTTATACACTTAAATCAAGTCAATTTAACATAGTACAGCTATTTCTTTCTTTTTTTTTTTTAATTTTTGTTTTTGTTTTGACAGGGCAGGAGCATGATTTGGGAAATCAGAGGTCTTTTTTCACATTGTCTTAGAAACACTTTTAAAAGGGCTAAGATGCAGGGCGCTTGCATGGCTCAGTTAGTTATGGGTCTGACTCTTGATCTAGGCTCGGGTCATGATCTCATGGTTTGTGAAATTGAGCCCCACTTTGGGCTCTGTGCTGACAGCGTGGAGTCTGCTTGGGATTGTCTCTCTACCTCTCTTTCAAGCTTTCTTGCGTGTTCTCTCTCTCTCCAAAAATAAACCTAAAATAATTATAAAAAATAAAAGGGCTGTATGCTTTATGGGTTAGCAATAGGTAATAGGCAAGTTTGTGAAATAAAGTTAATAATTGAAAAAAAAAAACAACAGGATATTCTTGGAGAGCCTGGGTGGCTCAGTCAGTTAAACGTCCAACTTTGGCTCAGGTCATGATCTTGCAGCTCAAGAGTTTGAGCCCCGCATCGGGCTCTGTGCTGACAGCTTGGAAACTGGAACCTGCTTCGAATTCTGTGTCTCCCTCTCTCTGCCTCTCCCCTGTATGCGCTCTCTCTCACTCTCTCAAAAATAGACCTTAAAAATTTTTAAAGGATATTCTTATTATGATTGAACATGAAATAGGTTAATAAATATCTGGCCTTTGGCCTGATTTCACTTGGTCACTGTCTACAGTTGATGCATCAAACATTCCGAGTCAGTGGGGAGAAGCCCCTCTCCGCAGCGGATTCTGCTTTGCAGTATATCCCTTGTTTCTCTAATTATTATAGCAAATTAACATATATTACTTTTTAAATAGCAGAAAGGTTCATTTACAAATCAAATTTCTGGCTGATCCCAAATGCCAAAACTTAGACGTAGTTGAACGCTAAAATCCCGAGCACACAGAACAAATGTGTTCTCTGGAGGCAGACGGGTGCAGGTGTGTAGGCACGGCTGCTTCCTTTCGAGGACTGTCAGGACTGTATCTGAAAGAGGAGGTAATACCGAGGCAGTGACCCACAGACATGATGAGAACGGAGACCCGAAGACCAAAAGAAGAATGCTTACACTAATCAGTGCTGGCACTTTAAGAAAATCCCTTGGCGCTAGAGAGAAGAGTGCTGCTTCTCTCTCCAGGCCATTTTGTAACTTTCTTGGAAAAAGCTCTCCTAGCAAAGGGTCCTGTTTTTAACATCCTTTTATAATTTGAAGGGATAAGAATTGGGTTTCCCATCCAGCAGTTCCCACGGATCGGCACAGAGAATCGCCCTACTTTGTGCGGTAGTGTGGGCTAGGCTGGGGAGAAGCACAGGGAGCAAGCAGGTCACAGGAAAGTGCTGGACGCCTAGTGGAGGGGGTCAGTGGCCACAGAGGCCCATGTGGGGTTGGGTGCCCTTGTGCTACGGGCGGTGCCCTTCTGCCTTCTCCTCCTTCCACTTGCCCCTTGTCATTTCAGATTTTGTAAACAGGAGGCTTCTAAGACTGGGGGGTGGTGGAGGACAGAGTGAGCAATCAACTTCTGGCAAGTTCTCCAGTTCCGCCTCTTCCAGCAAGTGCCAGCCTCCACCTACTTTGCTGTAAGCCAGATACATGGCGCTGGGTTTGAAGCTACAGTTGGTTTGGTTTACAGACTGAAGCCGGTCAAAATAAAGAGCCTGTGTGGCTTCCCCAGCTCTCTCTCCCATCAGTCTTTTGGAACAGCCAGCAAACCACCGGGACACTCTTTGCGTTACAGTCTGAAAACCAGTAGCTCATTTTGCAATAAAAACATCAACAGAAGCCAATTCAAATGGGAGGCTGATGCTAAAGGATGACTAACGGGAATACACAGCTCCCGCAGCTGCCGGCATGAGGAACGTACTGTCAAAGTGAACACTTCCTCTCCGTTCTGAATGTCCCACAGTTTGGCCGTTGTGTCCATGCTTCCAGTGGCCACCAGTGTGCTTTGAGGGTTGAATGACAAACACACCTGAATTATAGGAAATGGAAGAGATTTTAGAAAGGTAAGAGTTTTAAACTGTTAATTGTGTACAGAAAAGCTTCAAGATGCAACCACCTCGGAGTCAGCCTAATTCTTTGTAAATCACGCGGTGCCATATCGGATCTGCGTGGCCTGCCTTCTGCAGGTTCAATCCTGAAGCGCTCTCCTCTTGCGAAGAAGCTGCTCGCCCTCCCACGCCACCCAGCTCGGGCTTGCAGGGGCACCGGGGACCCTCACCACTTCCAGACCACAGACGACGACGAGCAAGAACAAAAGCCAAACCATCTCCTTTGAGATTCCTGCTCTCCGGCTTCCGGCTTCCTTGTTGTTAACTTCATAGTCCTTTCAATCTTCACCCTCGCTCACCAAGGACTTTGGCTACTGGATTATAGTCTCAATTCTAAATCTTAGGCGGCCTTCCTGTGAGCCACCAATCCAGCACCCCAGACCCGCGACCCTGCACTCCCTGTCATAATCGCTCCATGGCCACACCCTGGACTTTGACATCACTTCCTCTGGAAAATTCACTACCAGTACATCAATTTCGAGTTGCGATTTCCCAGTACGTCCACTCTCTTCCTTATCAGACCATCCCCAGGATGCCTTCCTTCTCATTCAGACCCTTGCCTTTGCCTCGTTCCTTATCCCCCCGCTCAGCTGACACCCTGGGAGCATCACTCCTGCCGGGATCCTTGATACCTTCACCCCGTGTCTTTCCACAGCACCGTCCGCAAGACTCCTAACAACCGTAGCGGGCTGCCGTCTCCTTCACTCACCCGCCCTCAGCTTCGGAAAACTGCACAGCGGATCACTGGCGTTGTTCTCCTGTGCCTTCTGTCCTCAGCTGTGTGTTCGGAGCCATCCCTGACGTGACCCTGCTTCTGCCTCAGCACCCTCTCCCTTTCCCCACTCTTGTCCCGGGTCTGTTCTCACCCCTCCTCCACAGATAACCCGGCCTCCTACCATTTCCCTGAGAAAGCCCATCTATGGCGGGGGCGGGGGGACTCCCTCACCTGGGGCCTCTCTTCCTTTCCATGAGCCTCAGGTGCAGAGGGGTCCCTTGGCCCTGCTGAGACACACCCTTGCCTGCACTCCTAGGAGAGGCAGGCCCGTTGAGTTTTCCCTCCCTCTGGACTAGGTCCCTCCTAGTGGCCTCGAAACGCTCCAGCTTTTCCCACTTAAAAAACAAACCCTCCCTTGACTCTGTGTGCCCCCTTTTTAACTGCCTGTCTTCCTCTCACCACTAAATTCCTGATTGCCCGCCCCCCACTCTTCACCTCTGCTGGAGCCACTCTGGTTAAAGGGCCAATCCAATGGCCCTGTGGGTCGTCCCACTTAACCTCCATGCCGTCTGCAGGGCTGACTCCTTTGTTCTCCACATTTTCTTCCTTCTTGAGGGCTAGGACTCTGCTCTGCTTTCCTTCTCTTGCTTCCTGTCTGTTTTCTGTATCTCTCGGAGGATTCTTCTCATCTCCAGCTGCTCAAGATGCCACCCCACTTCTCCCCGTACTCACCTTTCAGAAATTTCAATTGCTCAGCGGTCCCCACTGCCCCCCTGATACCAGTGACTCCCACACATAGCCACATCTCCTGCCCAGACTTCGCCACTCCGTTCAGTCATCACACAGGCAGATTTGATCAATCAAAGACACAGGAGTCATAGGAACACAGAGCTGCTTTTCCGTTTATATGTAGAACCGGTGAATGGCCATTGTCTGAAATCAGGGAATCTCTCTAGGGCCCCTTGTTTCCTTCCTGTCTCGCATCTGCTTGGTGAACCAGTCCTACTCCTCTGCCTCAACCTGTCTCCCATCTTCCTCACCTGCCTCATGACAGGCCTCCGTCATTGCTGCCTGGAAACAAGATGCCGACTGGCTCCTACTTATGATCGCACTGCACACTGCCAAAGGAATGATCTTACCGAAGAGTAAAAGTGACCACGCTGTTCCCAGAGGAAGAGTCCCAACACTACAGCATCGTCCACAGGGTGAAGCCTTAATTTCTCAGCACAGCATAGGGGTCAATAATAGGGGCCCCGTCAATCACACTCACCACGTGATGTGGCTTTGAGTGCGTTGCATGTGTGCCAAGACACACCCTTAACCCCTGTGCCCTTAACCCAGGCAGTTGGTCAGCGCGAGGGGCCCTCAGCCAGCACCCCTGTCCCCGAGCAGAAGGAGCTCCCCTCTGAGTGCCTCATGGCCACATTGGCATATTCTGTGCATATCATCCTGGGGTGAGGTTGGGAAGCGCTGCTCTGGCCACACAGTGTCACCTGAGTTCGAAAGCACCCACCACTGTTGCACACCTCCTCTGGGCGTGTCACTCCCTCTTCCTGCAGTGCATGTGCAATGTCCTTCCTCAACACCCCCCTGCTGGGCACTTCCCTCTGTGACCACACCAAACTGTCCACCAACTTCTAGCACAGCCACAAAGCGCCTTTGAACTTAGTTATTGATGCCTCTACTCCCTCTGCTAATGTACAAAGTCCCTGCAGGACAATATCTATGTGTGATTCTATTTGGCATGCCAAACACACAGACCCGGGCTTGACACGCAGTCAATAGTTAGTAAACATCTCCGGGATTGATGTTGACTATGAAAAATATCAGTGTTTTCCTAGGAACCATGTATTTAAAAAAAAAAGAAAGAAAACTTTTTCAAAATTCCAAGGGAGTGTGAGAATGAGGATTATGTCTTTCTTATGACTTTGGGCACATTACTTACTCTCTCGATGCCTCAGCATCTTCAGCATCTTCAACTGTAAAACGGGGAAATATCCAGCCCTTAGGGCTGTTACGAGGTACAACTAAGTTCACATATGTGAAGGGCTTAGGACAGTGCTTTGTGCACAGAGAGTGCAATTAATGAGTCAGGTTATAGTTTTTCACTGCGTTATCCCCCGTGTCTAGCAAAGTATTAAACAGAGCATGAGCCCTTATTGGATGAATACACCATGAGTTTGAAAGATAAATATAAATAAATGTTAGTCCTAAAATAAGCAGCTTGTTTATTTTTAAAAGCTCTCTTTTGTTCCATAGGGTGCCAATTATCTCACTAATTGTTACAAGCTGAAACACAGAATTGGCCAAGGGCAAGGCTTCCCAATAGTGAAAGCTATTTAGAGTATCAAACTTTTTATGCAAATTTGAGTTCTAATGATATCTAGGAAACAATCAGCCTAAATATTGTCTGTGATATATAAAAAAAAGATACTTTAAAAGCTATTTCAAGAATTTTATCCACCTCCATCAAGTCAGTCCTTCAAAAGCAAGTCAATGAAAAAGAAAATGTCAGGTTGGATACTGGACTTAAATGTTTATCATATTACACATCTAATTGGTCAATGCAGGATACAGGTTACTGAACAACATCTGCAAGATATGAAAACTCGAATAGCTTGTAAATTACATGAATGCCACCATAGAAAATAAATAGAAACTAAAAACGCTGGATAGAATTATAAAATTAATCATAAAGGTAGAACCACCACTTTTATAATGGACTCCTAAAAAGAAATAGCAAGGGTGTGTCAATGTAGGTCCATCAGTCGTAACAAAGGTACCATTTTGGTGGGGGATGTTCATAAAGGGACATGCTTGGTTTCGGGGGGCCAGGAGGGAATATATGCGAAATCTCTATACTTTCCACTCAGTTTTGCTGTGAATCTGAAACTGCTCTAAAAATTAGCCATTAAAACAGAGAGAAAGAAAAGTAAAGAAGAAGGAGGAGGAGGAGGAGGAAACAGCAACATAAAAAATATAATAAAATAAATGTACTCACTATTTCTGCTGTATGCCCCCTAAAAGTGTGGTAACATTTTCCCGTTTCTACACTCCATAGTTTACAGGTCTTATCAAAGGAGCCAGTAGCAATTTTGTCACTAAGATTAAAAAAAAAAATGTGGACTTTGAAAACAAATCCAAACACACAATATGATACTCTGAATTATTAACACAAGACATATTAATACATAGGCCTATATCTACTCAGAAATTTACTTCATTTTTAAAACAATAAACAATCTTCTATTTGTTTCGGTGGATAACAATTTTAAGGTCTAATTTTTCAATAGTATCAGTTTATGCATTTAATTTTAAATATTTTACACGAAAGGTATAAATTTATGTTTGGGATTACAATACGTTTTTAAACAAGCACAATGAATATGGTGAAAATTTTAGTGTAGAAAACTACTACCAAATGGAAATGAAAAATGTGTGAGTTGCAAGAACACAGGAAAATTCTATTAGTAGATCTACTGACAAGGCTAACATTGAATTTAAACGAAGAAAAACGAAAAACTATAAATCCAATTAACCATATGGCTGGATACATTTTTGAGAATTTAGTGTCCCCTTGGGAAAGTAATACTGCTAATATTGCAACTGTAAGACCTCTGAACAAGGAAGAAGGGTTACAGAGGAAATCTGTTAAGACCTCACTCCGTTTCAAACAAGAGGCTTTCCATGTAGACCGTAGAGCAGGGTGACTATCGACACCCGACAGATACGAGTAGGTTGGCCTGTTTAACCTTTGATCACGGAACTAAATCTTCTCCTTTACCATTGACCTCTATCTTTTATAGCAAGTCATCAAAATGTTCCACCCAATGGGGTCAACAATGACAGTGCAAGCTCATTGTTCAAAGGTGTGAAGCATCTTAAAACCCAAAATACGTATCTTAAAGCAAATATATGTGCTGGGCACAGCTGTAGGATTTATATTTTATCCAAACTAACACTAATGCCCTGTCGCTCTCCTTTACTCTCAGACCCCCCACATAGTATTTCTGTGGTCTCTGATTCTAAGGGAGCGAGGTCCTTTCTGTCCATGCGCCATGCTCCAGGGACAATCTGCTCTGGAGAAACACCCCCATCCGGTCTGAGCATTTCTCATCGGCTGCTGGTGTCGGTCACCTTCTGCTCAGATGCAAAGAGGGCGCTATGTGCTTTTTACCAGCGCCTTCCCTCCATTTTCCATCCCTCCTTCCCCTAAGACATATTGTCTCAAGTTGCTATTGTCTCTCAATTCCTGGTTGATCACATATTTCTCTCTATACCCAGACACCACTACATTATAAAAGACAATACTGATTTCAAGGGTGTCTGGGTGGCTCAGCCAGTGAGGCGTCCAACTTTGGCTCACGGGTTCGTGGGTTCAAGCCCTGCATCAGGCTCTGTGCAGACAACTCAGAGCCTGGAGTCTGCTTCAGACTCTGTGTCTCCGTCTCTGCCCCTCTACCACTCAGGCTCTCTCTCTCTCTCTCTCTCTCCTCTCTCTCTCTCTCTCTCTCTCTCTCAAAAATAAACGTTGAAAAAGATAATGCTGATATCATAGTTTTTTGAAATTACTTTATAGAATCAAAGCTTACTCCTGACCCAATATATAAAACATGTAAATACTAAACTGGTTGAAGTTCGTCTCCCCACCACCCATCACACACACATGCTCCCTTTCATTCTTTGGTGGCTATCTTGAATCTTGAACTCACTCTGCTGAAACCCCAAATGCCCCAAAGTACAGGGGGGAATGCTGCTTTAATCCATATAGAAATCATTAGACTATGACAAGCAATTGTTTCCTCAGGGGGTCTTGGTTAGAATCCAACAGAAAGGCCTAAAGATGAAGAGCTGCTCACCTCTCTAGCCCCCAAAACTTTGTTCTCAGATAGACATGCAAAAATACCATGTCTTTTAAGTAGGATATTATAGGATATGATATTATATCATGCAGAATCTAGTGAAAGTTCTTTAAATAACATTGCAATTAAGGTAGGAATTATAGTCAAGGTAAAACATCATCACTTATAATATCAATTCTCTCCCACAGGTTGGTGCAATAAGGTATTATAAAAGCTATCATTCTCTACAATGTAAAACGCACACATCAAAGTTATGTATTCGATAATGGATCTGGAATACTTAATCGTTTTAATGTACCAGTTAGGTTTGATTGTGCCATCCCAATTGATAGGATTTAAACTGTGTTACATCTTCAAAAGATATAATGACATTAGCAACCTACATACCAAGGTTTTAATATTTATGGTATAAAATGTCTACTTTAGGTGTCTCAGCTTTTTCTACAAACTCCCTTTATTTCCCCTGCCACTACCCTACACTGTTTCCGTCACCCCGTGAATGTATCATTTTATCTGCCTCCTAGCTAATTTCCTTGCTTCCTGTTTCATCCCCGCCCAAACCCTCTGACCCCTTCTCTCTGCCAGAGCTGCCCTCCCAAAACAGCACTTTCACTGAGTCCCTCTCCTTTGTACACAAAGCCTTCGTCACAATTCAGTCCTCCAGAACAGAGTTCAAACCACACAGAACACTCTGACCTCACCCACTTCGGATTCTCACCGGAAACGGCCACTCGAGAGCGGGGAGCACTGGGGGAGCCGGGCAAAGTCCCACCTAACCCATGCAGCTGCAGGGCGCCCACCCCCAGGGGGCCGTCCCCGCCCTCCTATATCCTCAGCCTCCCATGCTTCTGCTGCAGCCTCACCCTCAAGCCTTCACCAGGAGAAATCACACTGGCCTTTCTCTTCTAACTTTTAAACCATTTACTGTTTTGTTCTAGTCATCATAATACTATAGCAAAAGGGCCAGATTTATGGGGACTGCTTAGCGAATGGAAAAAGTCAAAGTGAACAGTCATGAAAAAAGACACACATTAAAAATGTTTACTCAAATATGCCAGGCGAAGGTCTTTTCTATGGCTAACTGGAGCTCATCATCTGCCTTACAGAAATCATACCCAACCTCTACAACTTCCAATCTGAGAACTTAAACGCACTTGCAGGGCAATCTGCGTACAAAGGTTGTTCTAAATGTTTCAACGCATTTCCTCGTTTTTACACTGACCTCGCCTGCAGCTTCATTGACTAGCAATTTTTCAAAGATTTACCTTACCTATGTGTTCACGAAAAAATAACAGCTTTATTTTCACACTCACATTTCATTAGTTTTAGCAATGTAAAATTAAATTCCATAATTAAAGTTGAAATCCCAACCAACATAAGCAGATTTATGGACAGACACAAGTAACTCATGGTACACTTAGAACCTAACCGGTGGGAAGAAAAGCTGAGCTCACCAGCGGGCGGCCCGGCGTCTGCACACATCCAGGGAGCCATGGGCACGAGTGGTATGTCACTCAGGACGAGAGCTAGATAGAACCCTTGGTCAATCTGTTGACTCAGCTAGAGGTTGGCTTTAAAATGCTATTATATTTTGTACTGTTATCTAGCATGTTACTATGTACATCCGTTTCCTGCTAAGACTGTAAATTAACTTCCGAACAAGGTAAACCATGTTCTGTGGGTATGTCATGTTCTCCAGAAGCTGGCGCTCTACACATCCTAGGAAGTGGCTGTCAGAGAACCCCCAGGGGAAGGGACTCAGCCCTGCTTGAATTCGGGACTCCAGCTCCTCTCTTTACTACCATGGGATCCTGAGAGGCATCCTTGAACTTTATATACTTTCTGTGTGAACAATAAGACCTATCCCCAGACTCCTTTAAGCATTGAACGGGGTGTTTAAAAAGCTTTCAAAGCACACGTTGGCCACTTGCAAGTTTTAGTTCTCTTTTTCCTTTCATCCCCCAATAAACAGAGGGAGAGATGAATAAATGAAGGGAGAGAAGAATGAAAGAATTAATGGCTTAATAAGGACGAAGTGAATGAGTGAATGTCTGCTTACCCATATGGATTGTTGAATGCTATGGCATAAACCACATTCCGGTGGCCCTCCAGGGTGTGAAGCTCCTCTCCAGAAGCAGTGTCCCAGAGTTTACAGGTCCGATCATAGCTCCCTGTGATAAAGCTAACACGGGAAAGACAAATAGATCACAAAATGACAACAGCAGTGTGTTAATAATAGCATCGTATTTCTTACCTGCAAGATTATAACCCCATTTATCTTGCTTTTTACAAAATGAAATTGTGTATGGAGAACCATTAAATTGAGAACAATATCTACATCCTTTGATTAGAAACTTTTCAATTTTATCCCTAAACCAAAAGGAGCCACTAAAAAAAATTAAGAGCATTCCGGCCAATAATCATTCTTATAAGCAATTATTAATTAAATAATAATATTAATCAGTAACAGTTTCTGAAATTCTAACGTCCGTAAACAGTATCATTCTTCCCACTGGTCAGCCCATAAAATCTTAGAACCATCTTTGATTCCTCTATTTCCCTCACATACCACACACAACCTGTTAGTAAATTCTGTTAGCCCAATCTCAAAATACATCCCCAGTATGGCCACGTCTCACCAGAGTCCATTGCCTCCATCTCTTGCCTAAACAATGAAACCATCTTCTAATGGATCTTGGCTCGCACATGATCCTTATTCCTTATAAATCTATTTTCCACACTGAAATTGGAGTTGTTGGTGCTTTTTATTTTTAACTTCCCTCAGATGGCTTCCTAACAATCTAGAGGAAAATTCAAACTTCTGCTCATGGCCCACAAGACCAGTAGCACTAGCTGCCTCTGGGACCTCAACTTGACCCCAAAGCACACCCTGAGCAGCCACAGTCACCTCTTTGCTAGTCTTTCCTCTGCCCATCCGGTTCACTGCCATCATCCCCACGACCTGGAACATGGCTGGCAAACTACTAAGTGTCAATGAATATTTATTGAAAATTAACAATCTTCTTATTTGACTATTTTTCTATGAAAATAACTTGTACATTGGCCTCTCATATGCATTTTTTATTTTAGAGAGAAAGAGCACATGCAAGTGGGAGAGAAGGACAGAGGGAGAGAGAGAGAAAATGAAGCGGGCTCCATCTTCAGTGTGGAGCCCAGTGAAAGGCTCAGTCTCACTACCCTGAGATCATGACCTGAGCCTAAATCAAGAGCTGTACACATTTAACTGACTGAGCCACCCATGCTCTCTTGACCTCTCATATTTTAAAGTTATAAAATACTATCTTAGTTATTCCTTAAATATTCCATTAGGAAAGATGCTTCCCTAACATACACACACAAAGTGCACAAAATTAAAATGCCCATCTACAATCAAAAAGAATGAAATGTTGCCATTTGCAACAATGTGGATGGACCTAGAATGTGTTATGCTAAGTGAAAAAAAGTCAGTGAGAGAAACACAAATAGATGATTTCACCCATACATGGAATTTAAGAAACACAACAGATGAATGTAAGGGAAGAGAAGGAAAATTAAGTGAGGCAAGCCATAAGAGACTCTTAAATACAAAGAACAAACAGAGTTGATGGAGGGAAGTGGGTGAAGGAAGGGCTAAATGGGTGATGAGCATTAGGGAGAGCACCTGTTGTGATGAGCACTGGGTGTTATACAGAAGTGATGAATCACTGAGTTCTACCCCCGAAACCAATACTACACTGTATGTTACCTAACTTGAATTTAAATGAATAAATTAAAACAAAACAATTTTAAATAAAGAAATAAATTAATAAATAAAATAAAAAACCAGTCTGAATGTCAAGTGGTAATGATAAAGAGTAAACAGATAAATAATAAATTCTATCATGGAAACTCAACTAAACAAAAGGGTTGTTTGACAAACATGTCAAATCATGCTGTACACCTTAGGGGCGCCTGGGTCGCTCAGTCAGTTGGGAGTTTGACTTCGGCTCAGGTCATGATCTCGTGGTTTGTGGGTTCGAGCCCCACGTCGGGCTCTGTGCTGACAGCTAGCTCAAAGCCTGCACCCTACTTCAGATTCTGTGTTTCCCTCTCTCTGTAACCCTCCCCTGCTCACGCTGTCTCTCTCTCTTTCAGAAATAAATAAAACATTAAAAAATGTTTTATTTAAAAAAAATCATGTTGTACACCTTAAATATATATAATTTTATTTTTAAAAATTATATTCCTTGGTTGTTAAAAATTAGAAATAAAGAATAGAAATGGAAATATAGAAGGGCGCCTGGGTTGTTCAGTCAGTTGAGCATCTGCCTCTTGATTTCAGCTCAGGTCATGATCCCAGGATCGTGGGATCAAGCCCTGCATCCAGCTTTGTCCTGGCAGTTTGGAGCCTGCTTGGGATTCTCTCACCTTCTTTCTGCCCCTCTCCCCTGCTCACTTGCTCTCTCTCTAAAATAAAGACAGGGAAGGATGGAGGAAGGGAGGAAGAAGGGAAGGGAGGAAGAGAGGGAAGAAGGGAGGGGGAGGAAGGGAGGGAGAAAGGGAGGGGGAGGAGGGAGGGAGGAAGGGAGGGGGAGGAAGGGAGGGGGAGGAAGGGAGGAAGGGAGGTACAGAAATAAACAGGTGAAGCAGAGAATACTCATACTCGGGGCAGAGAAACTGTTCTGTGTGATGACTTAATGGTAGGTATCTGTCATTATACATGCGTCAACCCATAGAATGAAAGAAAGCAAGAGTCACCCCTATTATAAGCTATGAAGTTTGAGAGGTCCATCAACTGTAAGAAATGCACAACTCTTTGGGGGAAGATGACAGTAAAGAGGCTGAGGGTGTGTGGGGGCCGGACATCTATGGCAAATGTCTGGACCTTCTGCTCAATTTTGTTGTAAACCTAAAACCACCATAAATAATAAAGTTTAATAAATTTTTAAATATTTTTTCATTTCAAAAAATTAGAGGGGCGCCTGGGTGGCTTAGTCGGTTAGGTCATGATCTTGCGGTTCGTGGGTTCGAGCCCCGCGTAGGGCTCTGTGCTGACTGCCAGCTCAGAGCCTGGAGCCTGTTTCAGTCTGTGACTCCCTCTCTCTCTGACCCTCCCCTGCTCACGCTGTCTCTCTCTCTCTCCTAGAAATAAATTAAAAAATCATTTAAAAAAATTAGAAATAGAATGACCCTATGACCCAGCGATTGCACTGCTTAGCTATCCATCCAAAGGATACAAAAATGTTGATTCGAAGAGGTGCATGCACCCCAATGTTTATAGCAGCGCTATCGACAATAGCCAAATTCTGGAAAGTGCCCAAATGTCCATCGTCTCATGAATGGATAAAGAAGATGTGGTATACACACACACACACACACACACACACACACACACACACACTGGAATATTATTCAAAGATTAAATAAAAAGAATGTAATCTTGCCATTTGCAACAACATGGATGGAACTAGAGTGTATTATGCTAAGTGAAAAAAGTCAGTCAGAGAAAGATAAATATCATACGATTTCACTCATATGTGGAATTTAAGAAACAAAACAGATGAACATAGGGAAAGGGAAGGGAAAACAAGATAAAAACAGAGAGAGAGGGAGGCAAACCATAAGAGACACTGAAATACAGACAAGAAACTGAAGGTTGCCGGAGGGGTTTTGGGTTGGGGGATGGGCTATGTGGGTGAGGGGTATTAAGGAGGACACTTGTTGGGATGAGCACTGGGTGTTATAGGTAAGTAATAAATCACTAAATATTACTCCTAAAATCATTATTACACTATATGTTAACTAACTTGGATTCAGATAAAATTCAAAACTAAAAGTTAAAAATAAATAAAAACATCCTTTAGACTTTGGATACAAGAAAATAAATAATTAATAAATAAGTTTTTCATTTAAAATTTTAAGTTTTAAATAAATAAATAAGAGCAACTTACCAAGACCCCGATTTATTAAGCGCAACATTGGTCAGTGGCAGTATATGTGCTCTGAGAACCTTCAATGAAAGAAAACACCATTTGTTTTAAACTCATAAAAAAGAAGTTTAAATCGTTAATTTTAACTTCAAACCAAAGAAGATATTCAAGTTTGTCTTAAGTATACATAATAAGTGGACAATATTTGCTCTCTGAACAGATGAGAAAAAAATACTTTGTATCATCTACCATTAAGAGGGAGAGTACATTTGGTAGTTAACACAATTACAAAAACAATATTGAGTCTAAGTTTTCCATGAAATGTTTATTAAGATAAATTACTGCTATTAAATAAGATACCAAATAGCACTAATTTATAATATTATCTTTTAAATACTGCACATGGTTTTGTCCATATGCATGCATAGCATATACAGAAAATACACTAAATATGTTTCGAATGCAGATGTTACAATTCATTATTACTTCTGGAATCCTGAAGCTCCTCTAAGAGTCAGGGTGGCTCTCATTTCATTAATCTTTCAATTCCTACATTGTCAAGCCCAGAGCAGATAGCTCAATGTTTATCAAATGAACACACATTAATTGTACAGTCTGTTTGTAGATGCAGTGATTGGCTAGGCTGGGACAGTCCCAGTTACATCTACTGCGGGGGCATAATTATCAATAGTTTCTGTTTTTGCTATCAAAAATGTTCCCATTGGAAGATAAATTACAAGGTCATGCTGGTTACAGAGCTGATATTTGGAGTTAAATAGTGCCACCTGCTGGCAAAAGAAATATTACAAGAATAATTTCCTCCTCTTTCAATAATACATGGAAGGAATAACTACAAAAGATGGAATATTTTGTATGAGACAGAATACGCCGAATATACAGATAGTAATGACATTTCTTTTTTAATTTTTTAATGTTTATTTACTTTTGAGAGAGAGAGAGACAGAGAGACAGAGCATGAGCTGGGGAAGGGCAAAGAGAGGAGGACACATAGAATCCGAAGCAGGCTCCAAGCTCCAAGCTGAGAGCAGACAGTCCGATGCAGGGCTTGAACTCATGAACCGTAAGGTCATGACCTGAGCCAAAGTCGCATGCTCCACCGACTGATCCACCCAGGAGCCCTGATCATAATAACATTTCTTGTGAATTCATTTAAATCATAAAAAGAAAACCAGTGTAATTTGAAGCAACATTAGATTAAACTATTAAATATTGTTCAATAATTAAGAAAAGCTAAAAGCTACTTCTGAATGATTGACTACATTTGTTATACTTTTAATTTAATCATCAAAAACTACAGAGAAAAATAGGCATATTTACATTGCATTAAGATTATTATATAAGCCATCTCAATAAATAATTTACTGAAATATAGTTTAGTTCACATGGAAGCAGAAAATAGTAAATATTGATATTGCATGACACACAACCTCTTACTATTACTCCAAGTGAAAAAAGCTTCAATTATTCAATAACTTGAAATTGCCTTAATGGTCACTCTTTAAACTGAACACTAAAGAATAGCTAAACTTACTACAAATCTTTATTTAACTTCTCGAGAAATAAGTGTTTGAATTTCATTCATTCCGTAAACACATATTTGTTGAGATTTAGTCTTAGCAAGTATATATGAGGCGCCGAGGGAAAGAGGAAAGTATAATCTGTATGTTATCTCAGATTGATAGGATATCAATTAATTCTTTGAAGTTCTTCTATTTGGTATTTTTAAAATATGCATTACCTTAAAAAGGTAGAATTTGTGGTTGCTGTGCTGTCTGAGCTTCTCTTGTAATCTCTGTAGTAAAAGCTTTACTTGGTCCGATCGGGAAGCTGTGATTAGAGGCTCTGCTTTCTGTATCTCTTCTACTAAGGCATTGACGTCACTACTGAAATTCACACACACAGAAGTTACTATTTTCTACATCGAAATGTGCACACACATGCAACGCGTGAAGAATTACACTGCATTTATGAAGCACATTTATAAAATGTAAAGACGCCATCAGCTTTACTAAGAGATTTCAGGGGAGGGAGGGGTGGGAAATACAGATCAATAAAGAAATCAAGTCTGCATGAAAGTGACTTGGGGTTCTTCAGAATGATTCTTCATTAATCATGACTTCTCCTGTGGAAAGGGAGCAAGGATATTGATTTGCTTACCTAAGGCCAAGCACATGCTTGTTCTGAACTTGAGCTCTTTCTCTTTACTTATTTCCTGTTTCCTTTGTCTCTTTAATGAACATTAAGAGAATGTTCCCAGTACAACTATACTTTGTGCCTTACATATGTTCTCTTGTTCAATCTTGTAACAATCTCTAATATAATGCTTTTATCGTAATTACTTTGGTGATAAAGAAACTGAGATTTGGAAAGGTTGAGTCTTAAATATTTTTTTAGGGAAAGAGAAAGTACCTAAACTGAACACTCAAAGAATGATGATGATTATCATTAATAATTCTTATGGGCTATAACATCATTCTCTTAAAAAAGAACTGCTCAGAAATATATAGATTCAAGGTTTCCCTCAGTATTCAAATAACCTATAGTGATTCTGATAAACTTTGCCAGTCCAGAATAATAATTGTTCAAGACAAAGAATAACATCTATAAACCACAAAGCATCCAAAATAGGGTCATTCTGCAAAACATGTCACATACGTGTGTCAAAGATGCACTGCCCCATCCCCTCCCTTCAAGAAAGGACTCAGGGGCCCCCCTGGGGGGCAGGTGTTTAGGTAGCTGACAGTCTCCAGCAGCAGCCCCTTCAGGATCCGCCTCAGCATCAGAGCCCGAGTGATCCTGAGCCCAGGGCTGAGCAGGTGGGTGGTGCAGGAGCCTGGCCATTTCCACCTCTCAAGGGACTCTCACCAGTGAGCTTTACTCTGGAGTCCCTCGTGGGCTTGGCAGAAAAGGTTATTACCTCTGCATCATCGTGGTTGGTGGCTCCTCGCACTGAACCCCGTTTCATCCCATCTGTCACAGACGTCACTTCCCAATAACATGTCACCCACCTACCTCTGTCTCAGCATCTGCTGCCCAGAAATGCAAACTCTGATAAGCATGCCCTTCCTCTTCATAAATAAACATCTCCTGAGCCCCAGTCTTGTGTAAGGCACTGAGCTAGAAGACTATTCATCCCACCTACATTTACTGAGTCCCTACTAAGATTAGGCCCTGGGAGTGTAAAAGGTACAGTCTCAGCTCTCAAGAAATACAGTCTACTAGAATAGGAGTGAATATTTGGAACAGAAATGAATCAGACCATTTACAGTGATGACTTTGATAAATTTCCAGTCTGTTTCAAAGGAGTTACACTTTTGTAAGAATTAAAGATCATAATGCCTCTTGGAAAGGTTTCCAACAAATGTCATAAATCGAAACAGATTTCCCAACAAGGTCTAAATTAACCAGGTATTTAATCTGTACATCCCAACCCTGTGGTATTCTAATTGCTCTTTTCCAGTGCAGTAACTCGAATATGTCCCATGTCATGCAAATGTTTTATATGCAGAATTCGTTCAGGTTCTTGTGCAGAACTAGGAATAAGATCCATCCTTTCTCTCTTTTACTTTGAGACATTTATTTACTACATAGGGCGACTATAGCATCCTAAGGATCTACATTTTTAAAAAATGTTTACTTTATTCATTTTGAGAGTGGGGGAGGGGCACCTGGGTGGCTCTGTCGGTTAAGTATCCGACTTAGGCTCAGGTCATGATCTCAAGGTTAGTGGATTCGAGCCCCACGTTGGGCTCTGTGCTGACAGCCAGCTCAGAACCTAGAGCCTGTTTCAGATTCTGTGTCTCCCTCTCTCTTTGACCCTTCCCTGCTCATGCTATCTCTTTCTTTCTCTCAGAAATAAATAAAACATTAAAAAAATAAAAATATCTTTACCTTATCTGAACATGGGCTCCCGCGGGATAACCACTGATCTGATTCTGTCTCATGAAGTGGAGTTTTGCATAGGATTTTTTGTTTTGTTTTGTTTTTAGTTTTGCATAGGATTTCCTAATGCAAATGAATTCTGGGCAATATGCTCTCTCAAGAGGATTTCCTCTGGGTGCAGAACAAGCTTCAGAGACAAAGATGGGGTCCTCCTAACTCTGCCCCATGACAACTAATGAGGAGAGCAGAATACAGTCAGGCCTGTGAGATTCTTGTCTATCAGCAAATAACAGGCTCAGTACTATTCTTAAAATTCTAATCACCGCCATTCCTCAAAAATGTTAAACGGTCATCAAAAGGAAGGGAAGTCTGAGAGACTGTCACCACTGCAAGAAGCCTGAGGAGACTTGACAACGAAATGTAATGTTGTCTTGGAAGAGAAAAAGCTAATTAAGCAAAAAACCCAAAACAAACAAACAAAAACAAAAGAAAACAAAGCAAAACAAAAAACTAACAAACCACAAGGAAAATTGTGTAGATATGGTCTTTAGTTAGTAATAATCTATCAATTATTCTGATAATTCAGGTTCATTAATTCTGACCAACATAGCACACTGATCTACAAAGTTAAGAATGAGGATGGGGGATGGGCCATGGGAGCTCCTGTCTTCACAACTTTCTAAAACTGCTCTCAACTAAAAGATTAAAAACAACAGCAGGTCTATTGAGGAAGAAAAAAAGACAGACTGATGATCCTTTCCCATTTCATCCTCACCCAGCCAGGCACCCCAGCAGGTCTCACTGAAGCAAGCAAGAAATAATACACCGCAGAACGTTTTTTGAGCACTGTATGGTGAGTTCATGCGGCGCTTCCACACATCGCCCTGGGTCAGCGTTAGCCAATAACAGATCTGGCTGCAACACGTAGCTGGTTTACCTGGGACTGAGGTTGAGCAAATCTATGCATTTGGTCTTCAGCTCTCCACTCGTCTCATATTCCAACATAATTCCTGCAAAAATAAACAAACATGGCATAAAACACTGAGGATGACAAACCGATGTCAAAAGTTAGTCTACTTTGCCGTAACTATTTTTTTCATCTCTATTTTTTTTAGTTTTTAAAATTTCTTGGCATCTGGGGTGCCTAGGTGGCTCAGTCGGTTTAGTGTCTGACTTCTTGATTTTGGCTCAGGCCTTGGTCTCACGGTTTGTGAGTTCGAGCCCCGCATTGGGCTCTGTGCTGACAGTGCGGAGCCTGGAGCCTGTTTTAGATTCTGTCTCCCTCTCTCTCTGTCCCTCCCCTGCTCACACTCTGTCTCTCTCTCTCTCAAAAATAAACATTAAAAAAATGAAAATTTCTTGGCATAAAACATAATGCAGTGACGTCTGGTTCTAAAACGAAATTGTGTGAACTCACTTTTCCCAAGTCCTTCCTTTAAATACAGCTACGTACCTTTGAAATTCAACAGACAACGCTAGAATAATCAAAAGCTGGGTAGAAGGTAGACCTGCTAGAGGAAGAACCGCATGATGAGTTCCCTGGGTTTTCTTTTCACCTCCCACATACCCCTAAACTGGAGACCAGAGTGACTTGTAGCCCAGAACCACCAAAAAAGCACAGCCAACAAAATCCGAGCCACAGCAAAGGTTGCTCTGTGGCCAAAGGACCAGGAAAAGGGAAGTCAAACAAAAAAAAAAAGCTAATGGGAGCCCTAAACCCTGCTCCACAGCTGGGCCCTGTAGGCAGTCTGATTCCCTCGGTGGAAGCCCTGGGCTGCTCCAGGTCTCCTTCAGAGCTGGGCCCCGGCAGCGGTCTGATATGATCATCAGCAAAACTGCAGGCGTCCTGGACATCCGCTTCTGAGCTGGGCCCCAAGGGGCCATCTAATCTGTCTAAAGCAGAGGCAGAGAAGTTCTCCCGGATCTGTCAGACCCCACTCCACAACCAAGCCATTGGTGGGCGGTCTCATCCACCTGCAAAAGGGGCAGCAACGATGTCCGGGGGTATCCCAGAACCCAGAACCCACTCCACAACCAGGCACCCAAGGAAGCGTCTGCCTGCATTTCAACCGGTGGTGTACCCAGGTGGAGTCCTATTTCCCACCTCCAGAAGGTCACTCAGTGAGCCCAGGCATACTGGGAAGTACCTTCCACCTGCAGGTAGCACCAGCTGGACCTGAGCAGGGCCTTAGCAGCACCAGAAAAACAAAATAGACCACAATAGCATCGCAAGGGTTGGAAAAACTAAGCTGCTGTTGGAAGTAAAGCCCACAAAGTTGACCAGAACTCCTACACTGAATCTGAACACAGTGACGGTCTGCCAAAGTAGATTCAGCTAGGATCAAAGGTCTGCGAACATAAGAACCTAAAGGTCCAGCTTACAATAAACAGGAAAAGACAATCGACAACTCCCAATACCCAGGATACAGTTTAAAAAACACCTATTGCACCAAGAACCACAGAAAGATAATCAACGAACACAAATATGGAGGTGAATCAGAGCTGGGAATGATCTGACAAGGATTTTAAAGGAGATGTCAAAAATGCTTTAGCAACCATTTACGAATTCACTTGAAACAAATGAAAGACATTTTTAAAAAATCTCAGAAAAATAGAAGTTTTAAAAACACACTAAATGGAAATTATATATAACTGGAAAATCCAATGTACAAAATGAAGAGCTTGTTGAATAGGCTCAATAGGAGCGTGGAGAGGACAAAGGATAGAATCAGTGAACTTGAAGACAGATCAATAGACTATAGTCCGTTTGAACAGCAGAGAGATAAGTTACTGCGGGGGCGGGGGTAGTGGTAAAAAAAAAAAAAAACAAAAACCTGAACAGAATCTTTTAACCACTTTCTTGTACTACCTCTATAAATGTAGGCTAGAGGATCTCAAAAGTTTTGGCCTCAGGACCACTTTACATTCTTCAAATTATTGAGGAGGCCAAAGGGCTGTAGTTTCTGTAATATTTTCCATATTAAAATTGAGAAAAATTTAAATTGTGTATTAAATTGTTTTAAGATAACAATAAAAAAGTGATAGCATGTTAAGGTAAATAATACATTTTATAGAAATAACTAAGAAGAGTAGCCCTGCTTTACACTTTTGCAAATCTCTTTAATGTTTGGCTTAATTAAACATGGCTGGAGTCTCATCTCTGCTTCTGCATTCAAGTTGTTGCTATGTGGTATTTCAGACAAAGTATAAAAAAAAAAATCCCATCATACCCAGATATGTAGTTGGAAAATGGAAAAATATTTTAATTGCATTTTCAGGTAATTATGGATAATCTTCTTTAATACTACATGAAAACTTAACAACTGTTAATTCATAAAAAGTACTTGCAATACAGAACCTGAAACCACATAAATTAACTCTTGGTACATTACATTAAATCCATTGGTTTATCTCGCACTTTCATAGGATATATTATTTATGTATGGTTTATACATCACGTACCAGACATCTGAAAAATTTTAGTTTTCTGAGTTATGAACATCTTCTAAATGTTGATGTATATAATTATACAATATCCCCTCAAAAATCACATGTGTTAATATCACTACCAATATCTATTATCAGAAAACTCTTTCAGTGCTGGTAAGCTACCCAGCTCATGGAGGTAGGTACAAGTGTTCTGAAATTCTGATTTCTGCTTGAAAGCTCAAATTATATCACTGGCAAGAGATGTTGACAGTCTTGTTTGAAAGTTTCAGGCTCACTTTACTCCTTTTCAAACAAAATGTCTTCCAAATGTCCAGGTCTGAAAGCCACGTTTGCTTCTCAGTCCTTCGAGTAAAAACGGTGTTCCGTGAAGAAAATGGCTAGTTCATCTCTCAGCTCAAAGGACTGCACAGTGTTTTCCTCAAAAACAATACGGACCATCACTGTGCAGAAGTGTTTGATGAGTACTTTCTATTTCATCACCCAGAATACAAGCACTCCTATATCAGTGTCTCATTATATTAGTGAGTTTTACCGTTTTATCGAAGACATTCCTCAGTGAAACTGAGGGGGGTTCTTCCTTTTGCAAGTTTGTGTTAGGGAGAAATACAATGACCACTTTGAGGAGTTTGTGGCCCCTGCCTGATTTGTAGTAAGTTTCTAGCAGTTTCACCTCCCTTCCCTTTTGTATGAGTAGCGCAAATGTCAAAAGCAGATGATATCTTACTGTTACTATGTAAAGAGACTTGACCTTGAGGCCCCACTGAAGGGGTGCAAGAGACATCAGGGATCCACTACAATTTGAGAATCCTTGCTATCAGACATAATTGATATAAAAGATATGATTCCAGCAGAATTTCAGATCAAGAGAAAATAGGGAATTCTGCCAAAACATTGTATTCGCTTTCCAAAGCACTACACCATTGAAATGGAGTGTGGCAAAGTTGAAAAGGCATGTGCTTGGCATCAAAAAGACCCAGGTTTGAGTTCCAGCTCAATTCCTTACTTACTTCATGATACTAGTAATCCTTTTATATCCCACTTTTCTTATCTGTAGATAATACCTTCAGTTTGCTGGTTGAAATTTTAAAAATCCATATATAAAGCTCCTGGTACGTAGAAACTCATCAAATAGTGTTTATTACCTAACGATTCCTCAAATTCTGCCTTGCAGCCTATCTGACATAGTCAGCTATGCCTGCATCTATGCCTTCTCTCCCCAGTGATATTGTGACATCTTTGAGAAGAAACCCATTTGCTTCTTCATACTCCCAGGAAGACCCTCCTCGGAATGAGTCAGGATGGTTTCCACACAGTAAGTGCCGGATTTGACCAGCTTCAAATACAGACAACACTGCCAAAGAGATTTACGTTACTTCCCATCTCTGGTTTCCATTTCTCCCTCAATGGTGCCTGCCCCACTTCGTCTTTACAATCTATTTTCTGTGCTAGCAACTTCTGACTCACCAGACCATAGGCTCCTGGTCTGCCTTCTCTTCATCCCTAGCATCTACTGTGAAATGTGTTACACAGGAACTCTCCAAGCAGTGCTTGCTGAATACATGAACTAATGGACAGATGACTGGATGAGTGTCCTCAGATTGCTTAATGCAATTACCAGTCCCTGTCTTTATGACACATGGACTTTCAGCAATAACTGACACCATGACCAAGTCCTTCCTCCAAATACTATCCTCAATAGGCTTTTATGAAATCCCTCCATCTTTTTCTCCACTTTGTTATTTTCCATTCTCCTTTATTGATTCCTTCTCTTCTGCCTGACCTTCAACTACTGATTTAAGATTCCGGTCTAGGAATTCTTTTCACTACATTTTTTTTTCTTCGTATAAATTCACCCATACTCATGGTTTTAACTGCCATCAATGCCAAAAATAAGTCTCCCGCCTAGACCTCCTTTGAGCTCCAGGCACGTTGATATCTCGCCTGCACCTCAAACAAGTTGAGGACTTTTCCCTTCAATCCTGTTTCTCCTAGAGAGCCTGTTTCTCAGTGTCAGACATCACCCCTCACCGAACCGCACAGCTACAGTGTCAGGAGGAATTCATCTGAACACAGTGGGGTTCACGGATTTGCCACAACCTAAGTAGGGAAACCCAAGCGGCCATTTGTAAGGAAGTGTAACCTTTTAGAACAGAAAAATCATTCCAAATGCTTTTAATAACCAAACAACAAACTACCCCAAACACCAGGACCCAGCAGACAAACAGCTGTACCTAAAAGGCTGGTTTGGGGGTACAGTTTTATTTTGTTCCTTTTCCCCAAGAAGTGATTCTTTCATATCAAAGACTTGAAGCCAGACTCTAGTCTAAGAAGCAAATTTACAAAGAAATAAAAGAAAGGATTCAGTGGAAAGCCAACCACCATAAATACTGTTACTTCCTTAGAGTAAAAACAGCCTTCATGTTCCACATTAACATTTTCAACAAAATATGGATGTTATAACACTGTTAAAATCTTTCTAAACTCCTATTTGTAAACCATATGTTCTAGAAAGATTTAAGAGAGCTTAGAAAAATAGAATACACAAAGCTAAGATTGGAAG